CATCCCACTGGGCTCAACAGGTTCTCTGTTTGCAGCAGAGCCTCCCAGCCCGGTCGCACCCATGCACTGTGCCATGGTGAGTTGCAATCCCGACCCTGAGGCTGCAGCGTTGGGCAAGCATTGCTGCAGGGCAGGGAGTGGTTGCAGGCTGTGCACAGCACAGAGGAGCTGGTTCAGGGTGAGCAGGACCAGCAGAGCCTGCAGGAACCGAGCCCTGACTGGGCACCCCGTGCTTGGCAGTGTTTGCTGAAGAGCTTTCCAAATACATTTATGGGCAGAAGAGAAAGGCTTGCAAGGCGGGGTTGGTGCTGCTGCATTTCTTGGAAGGTTTAGCATGAGACTGGGAAGGAAGTTCTGGTTGCTAGATGTGGTTTTAGGGTGGTGAAATCAGGGGGATGCACTGAGGCAAGGCAGGTCTTTAAGAACCCTTCCGACTCAAAACGTTCTAGAGACCCTGAGCAGGAAGGGGTCTGTGGTGGGGGCTGGGTCTGCCTGAGATGCCCACAGCTGCAGCTGCTCTGATGGCTCATTGCTGCTGCCTGGGGGGCACAAATGAGCATCCAGCTGCTGCCCTGAACCCCCCAGCCTAAATCTTAACCCTAACATTAACCCTAACCCTGAACCCCCTGGCTCTAATCTTAACCTTAACCTTAACCTTAACCCCAAGCATCACCAGCATCTTCCCAGCAGCGCCCAGAGCCAGGACAGGAGGCAAATTGAGACACAGGGGTTGGCGTGAGCTGTGCGAAGCGCTCCTTCATCCCGTGGTGACAGAGCACTGGGATGGGCTGCCCAGGGAGGTGGTGGATTCTCCTCCTCAGAGATCTCCAGATGCTTCCGGGGTTGGCGAACCTCTCTGGGGGTCACTGGTGGGCAGGGGGCTGGACCAGAGATGCCCCCGGTGCTGTGCCCTGTGTTGCTCCAGCAGAGATAAAATCTAAAATCTCTGACTTTCCCGTGGAGCGGAAGCTGTGTGTACAGAATGTGCTCTTATGCATTCTGTGTGTCTTTGTTTTTTTCTCCCCTGGATTCACACTGGCTTTTCCTTGGGCAGACAGTGAGTGACCCAGCTGGTGCCCACCCACCACAGCCGTCACAAGCCCCTTCCTTCACGGGTTTTTGGGGTCCTTCACTCGGGCAAACACTTCACCCACAAATGATCCCCGCTCCCCCAACCCTGAGAAGGGAGCGCATAGATAGGAAGGACTCAGGGAGGTTCAGGCGATGCTTTATTATCTTATGGGTGACCCAAGTGGGCAAGATGCAGCCAGAGCCCCATTCCTACATGCAAACCCCTTCGGGTCCTTCCTCGGGGCCCGGCTCCACGGTGTGGGGTGGCTCAGTTGCTGTCTGGCTTACATCTGTCATCCTTATGGATGATGCGGTGCGCGTCGTCGGTCACCTTGGCCAGGACGATGGTGAACTCCTCAAACGTCAGCTCCTTGTCCTTATTCAGATCCGTCTCCTCAAAGAGCTTCTGCAGGTACCCAGGACGGTTTCTGCCCTGCAGGGGGGACAGGGTGTGGGTCAGTGCACCTCCCCAGGCTGTGGGCACCACCCCAAACCTGTTCCTTTCATTGCTGAGAAGCTTTTGGAGGATGTGGGATTATTGGGATCTTCTATTTCCAAGGAGGATGGGTCTTGCCTTATGTGGGACTGTGGGTGTCCCATCCCTGCAGGTGCCCATAGTCTTGGATGGGACCCTGGGGGGGCACTCAGCTCGTAACAAGGGTGGGCTTGGGGAGGCTGTGAGGTCCCTTCCAACCCAACAGTTCCATTGTTCTAGGATCTTTCAGGACCCTTCCAACCCAAGGCATTCTACAGTCCTAGGATCTTTCAGGACCCTTCCAACCCAAGGCATTCTATGGTCCTAGGATCTTTCAGGACCCTTCCAACCCAAGGCATTCTATGGTCCTAGGACCTTTCAGGACCCTTCCAACACAAGGCATTCTATGTCCTAGGATCTTTCAGGACCCTTCCAACACAAGGCATTCTATGGTCCTAGGACCTTTCAGGACCCTTCCAACACAAGGCATTCTACAGTCCTAGGATCTTTCAGGACCCTTCCAACACGAGGCATTCTGCAGTGGATCCAACCTAAGCCATTCTATGAGCATGGGTGGTCCCACAGTGCCTGGGTCTGATGGACCACAGCCCTTCAGGGATGTTTTCACCCCATTCCCACCGATGCACCCCCAGGACCAGCTCAGCTTTGCCCCCCTCCCCAGGGCACTCACGCAGACACTCAGGAAGTTGGGTGCCTGCTCAGTCAGCAGTGTCTGGAAGTCACTGAAGTTGAGGAGGTCCAGCTGACCCTCACGGATGCTGTACTGGTGGAAGATGTTCACGATGGCTTCCAGGGCTTTTTCCAGAGTGCAGTTCCCTGGGAATTGCTGATCCTTGGGTTGTGAGGCGGTGGTGTGCGTGGACATGGTGGGATACCTGCAGACAGAGCTTGGGGCCATCAGGGGACAAAGCCGAGCACCCCACACCTTGCTGCCAGGCACCCCCAGGTTGTGCTGCTCTCAGCAAGTGCCACCCCAAAGCAGAAACATCTCCATCCCTGCTAACAGTGGCACAGAAATGCCATTAAGTGATATTAACCCACCACCCCAAAGGGGGAAACGTGGCTCTGGAACAACACAGGCGCGATACAAAGTGATACAGAAAATCTTCACCCTCATCCCCCCTGTCTGCTGCAGGAATCTTTCCAATGCCACTCACCCTTGTCTGCGAGGAGGTTTGCAGAGGACGGGTCTGTTGTAGTGATCCCAGCACCCAGGTGGCCCTTTATATGCACCCCGGGATCTCTTTCATCAGAGGCAGTGACACACCTGGTGCAAGCAACAGCTTGAATTAGCATTTCCCACACGTGGAAATTGCGAGGTGGGACTTGTGCGTCTGTCCCCATCTCGGTTCCTGGTTGCACCCACCGGGCTTCAGAAATGCTGTCCTGCCACCCCCACGTCAGGACAAAGAATGGGGAAACGTCGGACAGAAATGCGGAGCCCGCCGAGCCGATGCGCCGAAGCTGCGGGTTTGGCGACGTGCTGAGCGTTCCGTCCTCTGCCGCACCGACGCAGCAGAAAGGTGGGATGTTCAGAGTGTTGCAGACGTGTTTTTAGCACAGATGCAGGCCCCGTGTTTTCTGCATTATCAACTGGTTGAACACAAGCAAAGATGGAAGCGTTATCTTCATTCGACGGTTGGGTTTCCAGGTGATTTTCCATTATTCGCTGCTTTCACGTCGCCGGCGCCCTCGTGTTCTTTGGAAGAAACTGAGCTCAAGGAAGGGGAAAAAGAAATCCGGGGTCATGGTCTGTACTGCCCTGAGCTTCAACTGGAGGTTTTGCAACAGCAGCAGGTTCTGAAAGGATGAAGATAATGAGAAGATGTAAAAATTAGACAGGAGGTTCTGGGAAGAGGTGGGGACACAAAAACAAAGGGTGCTTTCGGAGGGCGCTTCTCGCAGCCGGGAGCAGCAACCAGATCTGTTGCATGATTTTTATTCTGGTATCCCTGACTCACTTTATTGTTTCTTTCTCTTCCTTCTGTCATTAGGGCTTCTCGGCAGTCCCTAATCGCATCCTCATTCCCCACCTGTCATCGCCAGCAGTCAGCTGGGCGGTGTTCGCTGTGTCCCCTCAGGGCAGGGCCACAGGTCCTCCGCTCCCACCCACCCCAGTGATGCTCCCCAAACCTGCAGTGACATCCTGGAAGGGGACAGCACCCAACTGGGGAACAAGAGCTGCTCCCCAATGGCTGAATTGCAGCGTCGGAGAGCGACGACTGGCGTCCCTGGGTGCAAACAACCACTCGGCCCACGTTTCCTTCCCCAACTTGGTGCTGCCAAGTCTTCCCCCCCCCCCCCAAGCCTGAGGTTCCCCTCTCCATGCATGGCTGCACACAAATGCACAGCTCCATCCTGCTTTTGGATCAGGTCCCCCATGAGCGGGCAGTGGCACAGGGAACTGCTGGACTCCAAGGAGCTGCCGCCCTGCACTGACAAAAGCACGAGGCTGCATCGTGCAGCACTGCATCCCCAGAGCCCCTCTGCATCACTTGTTGCCCCTCTGCCACACTGTGGCTTGCAGGAAACTGCTGGTTGCTTCGTGGGTTGCAAAAGCATCACCTCCACCTCAGGGTTACCAGCTGAGCTGGGTCTCAGCAGCATCCAGAGATACCATACAGGGGCAGGAGGGGCTGCCCAGGACACCCAGTGCTGAGGTGTGGGGTGCAAACACTGCTGTGCAAGGGGCTCAGGGAGCTGGTGGGGACCTGCTGGGATGTGGGCGCTGCAGGACACAGCCACATGAAGCAGCCCAGCACGAGCCATGTGCAGCTCTTCTCCCCCCCCCCCCCCAGGGAACAGCAGGATGGATGGGGATGCCCTGTCCCATTCCCTCTTCCCGTGTCCCCACGTCTCATTGCTGCCACATGCTGTCTGCGTGTGACCTCCATGGCTGCAGGCTGGGCTGGTGCATGTCCCCCCACACCCCCCCAGACCACAGGACACAGCACAGGTATATTTGGTGCACAGAGAAAGACAATTTATTTCAGTGTCACAGGCAGAAGCAGAGAGAGCAGCCTTGGTCGTGTGCTCATGGGCAGACGGGGGAGATGCTGCTGCTGGAGGAGCACAGCTCCGCAGGAAAGGCCTTAGTGGTGGGGACCGTGGCCGTGGCCGTGGCTGTGGCCATGTCCGTGATCGTGGCCATGTCCATGGTCATGGCCGTGGTCCCCAGGCTTCTTGTGGGACCGGTTGTGGGCATCGATGGCCACGAGGCTGAGCGTGGTGAGGAACTCGGTGAACTTCAAGCGGCCGTCGTGGTTGCTGTCAGATTTGGCAAAGAGCTGCTTGATGTACTCATCAGCAGTCGTGTTGGGCTGCGGGAGGACAAAACGAGTCAGGGCATGGGGTCCCCCTCAGCCCCACAGCTCCATCCCGGCGCTCCCCACTTCCCATCACCTCCATCACTGACCCCACTCCGGGGATGGTCCATGGCCCAGTTCAGGAGAACCCCATCAACCCCCCCATCCCCTTCAGAGAGTCTCAGCCCTCCCGTGCCCCAGGAGAGCACCACCCATGGAGCTCCCACAGACAGAAGGATGCTGAGCAGCGCAGCGCACCGGCACGGTGTCGGTGAGGAAGGGCTTGGCGTTCTCCTTCAGCAGCATGGCAAATTCATTCCGGCTCAGGTAATCATCCATTGGGTTCCGGATGGCGTAGCGGTGGTAGATGTTGATGGCGCATTCCAACGCGAGCTCCAGGTCGGTTTTCATCTCACTGGGAAAACAAAAGCAGTCAAGCGTTACAGAAGAGGCAGAGCCCTCCAGGAGCTCCTCCTGGGGGTAACCACTCACCAAATGATGGTCGTGGGGTTCCTCCGACAGCGATGTGAGCAGGAGAGCAGCGGCAGCGGCGGTGGCTGTGCGGTGCAGCGAGGGCTCTTTTATACTCTCCCTCAGCTACGATCTGCGACACCCTCGAATAACTTTGGGACGGTAACCCCAGGAATTGTGCAAGGCCACCGCAGCACGCCCAGGAGGCAGATCATGCCCAGCTCCAGGAACCGACCGCTGCCGGCATTAACAAGGGAGGGACGCACCAAACTCGTTAGGGCAAAACAAGGAAACGCCAAAAGAGACTCTTGCAGAGAGCCAGCAGAGCAGGTCTGTGTTGCTACAGGGGGTTCCCCATTTGGGGTTCCCGGTGGAGATGAAGAAAGTGGGATTTTCCTGGAGCATGTGGGGTGCTGTGGGTGAGGGTCTCCATGGGGTGATGGTGGTTTTTGCCACTGCAGATGTGGTTCAAGGGGAATGTGGGGTCTGCCCTTATGCTTGGCTCTGGATGGGGATGGTTGCCCCCCGCCCGGGGCTGCTGGGGGATGCATCCCACCAGTCAGCAGTCAGCATCCCATGTCAGTCACCAAGCAGCCGGCCCAGCAGCTGGCAAACGGCTGCAGATTGAGTCCTGCTGAGTGCTGGAAGCCTCCCAGACAGCACTTCCCAGCAGCAGTGATTGCTGCCTGATGACAGCAACTGTTGGCATTGGCGTTGGCAATCGCTGCCAGCCACTCCTAATGGGGTCACGGCAGTGTCACCACTCATGAAGACCCCACAGGATCCCAACTGTGGGGCTGGGAGCAGAATGCTTCGTGTGTTGGAGGGGTGAACCCCCTGGGGCAGCCCCCCCCAGCAGTGCCGAAGCCCTTTGCCCCATCCGTGCTCCTGGGAGTGCAGAAAACCTGCGATGCCCATTAGGGATTTTTGGAGATGGGAAGGACAGAGGTGGTGAAACCGCTCCTCATCACACCTCCCCCCCCAGGAGCACGAGGAACTGGTTCCAGGAGGAGCAGGCATTGCAAAACGGTGAAACAAAGAGCGGTCTGTACGAGGAGCAGGATGGGTGCACCTCCCTGAGAGGGGGTCCCTGCTGGCCTCTATCCCTGTGGGGATAGAGCAGCAGGTCTTGCAATAGGTGGTGATAATTGTGTGTCTGTCTGGGCAGGATGCAGGGGCACGCACGCGCCAGCATGGGGATGTGACACGGAGGCACCATTGGAAAGGTGCAAAGGGACACCGATGTGCCACGTGGGGAGGTGCGAAGGGACACGGCTGTGCCACGTGGGGGTGGGAGAAGACACACACGTCCCATGGGGCAGATGAGAAGGGGGGCAGGTGAGAAGGGACACATGCATGCACACACGCGCCCACAGTGAGCCCCTGGCTGCCCTCTGCTGCCCACTGCGCTGCTGCTTTGCTGAGTGCTGCTGTCCCAGCGCCATGGGGATGGAATGGAGGTGGGGATACAGCAGGGCTGGGCGCAGGGCACGAGCAGGGCCAACAGGGCGGGATGCTCTTCATGCATCGTGCCAGTTCTGATGCAAAAAAATCCCAAGTCCGGTCCCAAAAGGTCTGAGGGCTCACAGGGGGGGGGACAGAGTGTGCCCCCACCCCTGCGATGTGAACACAGCGCAGCCGCGTTCAGCTGCTCCACTGATCTGCCAGGCTTTAATTGCTCTGAAGTTCAACAACGACCACAAAACACAGCTGCAAATCTTTACAAAAAGTTTTATTGGACCCCTTAGAGGCCGTTGGGAGGGGGGGGGCTCAGCCCTACTTGTACTGCAACAGGGCCTCGTTGTAGATCATGGCCAAGGCACCCAGGAAAGTGACGTATTCCTGGAAGTTCACTTCCTGGTCTTTGTTGCGGTCCAGGTCCTCCATCAGCCCCGCGATCTCCGCATCCTTCAGTTTCTGCAGCCCCAGAGAGCACAGAGCCGTTAAAAATCGGGGTGCCAAGGGGGGGATGTGACTCCATGCTTACCCAGAAAGGGGGACCACAGCTGGGGGGCACCGAGGGACCCAGCCACGAGCACATCCCCAACCCACATCCCTGCTAGCAAAGCACGGGTGTTCACATTGCGTCCCATAAGGGCAGGTGTGGGGGGCAGGGCTGTGCCACCCCCCCCCCAGGTGACGTCACGCCTCGTGTCACCTCCCACCCTGCCCATCCCATGCCTGTTTTCCGGGTGGGTGCAGCAGTGTTGGCATCGCTGCGGGGCACTCACCGGCCCGATGGTCAGCTCCTTCTGGATCAGCTCCTTCAGCTCGCCCTTGCTCAGGCTGTTCTTGTCACCCTCCTTGCCCGAATACTTGTGGAAAGTGGCCACCAGGAGCCCGATGGCTTGGTCCAGAGGGGCTGCCATGGCTGTGAGTTGGGCTGTGAACCAGGGCAGAGCTCAGCATCCACTGAACCCCTAATCCAACTCTCCCAAACCCTCAGCCCCCCCTCCACAGCCCCCCACCCCCCCCCCCCCCCCCCAGCCCGGTGCGGGGGGGGCAGCTCCTCAGGCCCCAGCTCAGCACAGCTCCAAAGGTGGGGGGCTGCTCCGTGTGTCGTCCCCCCCCCATCCCAGGGCGTTGCACAGATCAGGGCCGTGGCTGTGCTGACTCATAGGGCACGGTGCCCGCCGCCTCCGCACGCAGCCACGGGGCTGTGGGAGCTGCTGGGGGCTGGGATGGGGGGTGGAGGGGGGCACGAGTGGGGCGGATGGGAAGAAGCCTTCTTGAGGTCTCCGGTCCACATCGCCTCGCCAGCCCCGAGATGGGAAAGGACACGGGGAAGATGTTGGCTTCCTTCGGGGTTCCCCACATCTGGACACTCTGCACATCTGGAGAGCAGCACAGAGCCCCGGAACTGCCGCAAGGGTTTGGTGAAAAGGGAATGGGAAGGAGGAAAGGGAAACTTACCGCTGGAGCAGGGCAGGATCCGGGAGCGGGGAAGGGAGGGCTGTGGTGCGCAGCTCCTCCGTGCATTTATAGCCGTGGCTGAGTCCTCCCATCCCCGGGGGGGGGGGCCAGGGTTGGATGGGTGCAGCGGTGAGGTGAAGCCACTCCTCTGCACGCCATAACCCCACCCCGGGCGTGAACACAACCGAAACGCCGCTCCCAGGGGTTCACTGCGATAGGGGGTGGGTCCTGGGTGCCCCACGGAGCAGTGGGAGAGGGACAGCCCCCAGCCCCATACACTGAGCGCATCCCACCGGCTCCCATTGGCATCGCCAAAGTGGGGCTGCGGTCCCGGCTGTGGGGTCAGTGATTGCTTCATCACCAGGGCTGGAAGTTGCTCGCCGTCCCCGTTATCGTGGTGCCATCGGAGCCGTTGATCCCTGAGATCTCCCAACCAGGAGAAGCGGGGCAGGGCGCTGCCGGCGGGGCTGACTCAAGGGGATGGGGCTGACTCAAGCCTGCGGGTGACTCCTGTGCATGGGAATGGGCACCCACACAGCCCCAAGTCCAGACCCAAAAAGCCCGGATCCAAAAGTCCAACTCCAAAGTCCAACCCCAAAAGTCCAGACCCCAAAGTCCAGCCTCAAACTCCAGCCTCAAAGTCCAACCCCAAAGTCTAGCCTCAAAACCCAGACCCTAAATCCCCCCTTTTTGTTCTGAGTCACCTTCCAGCACCTGCCAAGCGCACGTGGAGGGGAAATGGAGACTTCCCATGCAGGACAGCACACTGACCCCATACAAGAACCCCGCTTGCAGCTCACACAGCAGACTGGCTTTGGAGCAATCTTTATTGGAAGAGCGTTCAGATTGCAGCGAGGGGTGACGCAGCCCGGCTGACCCCCCCTGCTCACTTCTTGCGCGGCGTTTTATCGGGGTACTCCTGGAAGAAGTCGTTGCACATCACAGCCACGCAGGCCAGGAACGTGGCGTACTCGTGGAAGTCCACCTCGCTGTCCCTGTTGCTGTCCAGGTTGTTCATCAGCTTCTGGAATCCGGCTTCATCCGTGCGTTTCTGAGCATGGGGATGGAAAGGTGGCACCGAGGGTCTCCAAAGGACCCCCAGCCCCGTGTCCCCCCCCACCGCACTCACGCTGATGAAGCTGGGCAGCTCCCTGGTGAGCAGCTCCTTCAGCTCCGCTTTGCTCAGCTTGAACTTGTCCCCTTCCTTCCCCGAGTATTTGTGGAAGGTGGAGACCATCACGGCCAGCGCCTGCTCCAGGGGGCACGACATGGAGACACTGGGGGTCTGGGGGCACTGATGGCAGCTGAAGGCAGAACCCGGTGCGTTGTCACACCCGTGCATCACCACGTCCTCCCATTCCCCCAAGCAGCGGGGCCGGGTGGCACCGGGTGAGCAACCCCATAAAAAGCAATGATGAAGGAAGCAGCAGGGAGGGAGGGGGGCAGCAGCTGGCAGAGGGGAACGCAGCCTCCGGTGCTTGTAGGGGGGGGGGTTAACAGCATCTGAGGGGTGGCCAGAGAACCGTGGGCAAAGTGACTCACCAAGAGCTGGAGCACAGCGATCCGGGCAGGATGGGTGAGGGCAAGGCACTGGGATGTGCTGCTTTATAGCCTCACCACCCCCCTCAAGCCCCCCCAGACAGATGAGGAGGAACCAACGCTGCGTTGGCCACGCATTGGCTGATAGAGACGGAGAGGAACCCCCACGGGCAGCCCCTGCTTCCCCCCCACAGCCTCCTCCCAGCTCAGCCCAGGGGGTGGGTTGGGTCCAAAAGGGGAGAAAGTGCCCCTGGGGAGGCAGGGGGGGGTTGGATGGAAGGCACAGACTGATGGGGGGACGAAGCATTTGGCAGTGCCTGTCGGAGCGTCAGAAGAGGCACGAGCCCCAGCGGCGTCGGTCCAAGTTGGGGGTTGGAGATTTCCTTTCTTTTTTTCTGTTTTTAACTCAAACCACCTGCCAGCCATTTCTGTTTCCCAACGCCCCGTTGTGTAACGTGGCTCTATTTTGGTGCCCGCGTGGCCCCGCACGTGGCTGGGAGCGTGAGGACCACAGAGCTGCTGCGGGATGGGGACCAGGGAGACCAAACCCCACCAACAGCACAACGAGTGTGCTGGGTGCGAATGAACAAAGCCAAATGTCTTTGGGCAAAAGCGACCCTCGGGCTTGGAGCTCGTTAGGGAGCAGGTGCAACCTGGTGTTAATTACTGGGAGGGGTCAGAAGCACCTGGGGCTCCTTATAAAGCTTATGGGATGGAGCAGGGCAGAGCTTGGAGTTGTTGGTGAGGATGGGGGAGGGTTTGGAGTGGTGTGGGGAGGGGTTATGGGGAGTCTCTAGAAGGGTTTGGGGATGCGATGGGATGCGGGGTCTCTGTCAGAGCTTGGGGGCATGAGGGGATGGGGGGTCTTCAGGGCGGTTGGAGGCATGACGGGACGTGGGGTCTCTATGAGGATTGGGGGACGTGAAGGGACGTGGGGT